CACATGCCATCACACCCCAGATAATTTGTTTTGTTTTGTTTGTTTGAGGCAGGATCTCACTTTGTTCCCAGGCTGGAGGACAGTGGCACCATTATAGCTTATTGTAGCCTTAACCTCCTGGGCTCAAGTGATCCTCCCACCTCAGGCTTCCAAAGTGCTGGGATTACAGGCATGTGCCACTGTGCCCAGCCCTTTTATTTTTTGTAGAGAAAGGATCTTGTCAGTGGCCCATGCTGATTTGAACTACTGCCTTCAAGTGAGCCTTCCACCTTGGCCTTCCAAAGTGCTGGGATTATAGACATGAGCCACCACACTCAGCCTCTATACCCTTTAATAAAGAGTAATCCTACATCATTCTGCATTCCTGTAAATCGGGCGTTCCCAAACTACGGCCCCCTGAGGCCATTTATCCGGCCCCCCGCCACACTTCAGGAAGGGGCACCTCTTTCATTGGTGGTCAGTGAGAGGAGCACAGTATGTGGCGGCCCTCCAACGGTCTGAGGGACAGTGAACTGGCCCCCTGTGTCAAAAGTTTGGGGACACCTGCTGTAAATGCTCTATTTTCTTAGTTGTGAGTTAAGGCTTTCCTTGCTAGAGTGCTTTTAGTTTGTGATTAATTTTTGTTTCATTATACCAACTCCAAGACTTCAATGCAAAAGAGTGTCCCACCACTGCAAAATGGAGTGAGTTGGGAAAGGCTGCCCTTTGTGACATGGGGAGGAATGCCACCAGCACCTATTTTTTCTCCATACTTTGTTCTCCTTCCTGCTTCTTTTAGTGACCTTGTTTTTTTTGTTTGTTTGTTTTTGTTTTTGTTTGTTTTGTTTTGTTTTTTGAGGCGGAGTTTCACTCTTGTTACCCAGGCTGGAGTGCAATGGCGCGATCTCGGCTCACCGCAACCTCCACCTCCTGGGTTCAGGCAATTCTCCTGCCTCAGCCTCCTGAGTAGCTGGGATTACAGGCACGCACCACTATGCCCAGCTAATTTTTTGTATTTTTAGTAGAGACGGGGTTTCACCATGTTGACCAGGATGGTCTCGATCTCTCGACCTCGTGATCCACCCGCCTCGGCCTCCCAAAGTGCTGGGATTACAGGCTTGAGCCACCGCGCCCGGCCCTTGTTTTTGTTTTTTGAGACAGAGTTTTGTTTTTGTTGCCCAGGCTGGAGTGCAGTGGCACAACCTTGGCTCACTGCAACCTCTGCCTCCCGGGTTCAAGTGATTCTCTTGCCTCAGCCTCCTGAGTAGCTGGGACTACAGGTACCCACCACCACTTCCAGCTAATTTTTTGTATTTTTAGTAGAGACGGGTTTTCACCGTGTTAGCCAAGATGATCTCAATCTCCTGACCTCGTGATCTGCCCACCTTCGCCTCCCAAAGTGCTGGGATTACAGGCATGAGCCACCGCACCAGCCGACCTTGAATTGTATCTTTAATCTTGAACTTCTATTTCCACTTCTTCCTTTTTCTTTTCACATCTTTCTTTACACGTTCTCTACAGCATTTCTCCTGTGATGTTCCTTATGAACATAGGCCTAAGCTAAATTCTGTCTTGCTTGAAATTTCAAGTAAGTCTAGCATTTGCATTTCTAAATTCAGACATTGAAAAGTTATATATGAATTAGTTTTCAATTGGATTAATATCAGTTATAAGGGAACTTGCTATTTAATAATAACATTGTATTATTTGTTGTCTTATTGTACTTTTTTTTGACTGTATGTGATATTTGGGGACATGGATCTGTGTTTTCATATATTAGATTTGCTTAAGATGAGGTCCACATTTTAATTAAGGCAGATTCTTGTTTTCTTTTTTTCTTTTTTGGGACAGAGTTTCGCTCTTGTCGCCCAGGCTGGAGTGCAATGGCGCAATCTTGGCTCACTGCAACCTCCACCTCCCAGTTCAAGCAATTCTCCTGCCTCAGACTCCCAAGTAGCTGGGATTATAGGTGCCCATCACCATGCCCAGTCAATTTTTATATTTTTTTAGTAGAGACGGGTTTTCACTGTGTTGGCCAGGCTAGTCTTGAACTCCTGGCCTGAAGTGATCCACCTGCCTTGGCCTCCCAAAATGCTGGGATTACAGATGTGAGCCACCGCACCTGGCCCAATTCTCGTTTTCTTCTTGAGTTTATTTATTTATTTATTTATTTATTTATTTATTGAAACAGGGTCTTGCTCTGTTGCCCAGGCTGAAGTGCAGTGGTGTGATCATATAATGGCTCACTATAGCCTCAAACTCCTGGGCTCATCTGACCCTCTTGCCTCTTCCTTCTGAGTAACTAGGATTACAGGGTCCTGCCACCACACCTGGCTAATCTTCCTGAGTTTTAGTATCTGATTTTTCATTTAAGAGTTTAGTTAATGTATTTCTCTACACATCTTTATACCCTTGCTTCAGACTTTCATTTACCTCCTTGAGCTTATTAAACTTGTCCTCTCTAAATTCGTCTCTGCATACCCCTCAAACTTTGATGTTATTTTGCTTTTTTTTTTTCTTGAGATGGAGTTTCTTGCTTGCCACCCAGGCTAGAGTGCAGTGGTGTGATCTCGGCTCACTGCAACCTCTGCCTCCCAGATTCAAGTGATTCTCCTGCCTCAGCCTCCCAAATAGCTGAGATTACAGGCATGCACCACCATACCCGGCTAATTTTTGTACTTTTAGTAGAGATGGGGTTTTGACATGTTGGCCAGGCTGCTCTTGAACTCCTGAGCTCAGGTGATGCACCCACCTCAGCCTCCCGAAGTGCTGGGATTATAGGCGTGAGCCACCGAGCCCCACCTATTTTGTTTTTATAAATGATGTGTGTGTGTATGTGTGTACTATGCACATGTATAAATAACTATGTCCTATTTGAAATCTTCCTTGACGCCACTCATAAGACTTCTTTGATGTTTGTGCTTTCAGCTTGCTGTGGCACTCTTTTTCTCAGATTTACATGTACTGTTCTCTTTTTGTTAGTGTGGAATTAGTCACAAAGAGTTGCCTGTTTATTTAGAGCTAGAATACAATTAAGTGTAAATTAGTGAAGTAACACACAACTTCAGAGCTATGTCTATAGATTCCTTTTCAGAAAAACAAATACAATGCCTTAGATTTTTAGTTTAACTCTTTCTTCAAGAATTTCAACACATTATATCCTCTGTCCTATTTATTTTCAGCTCTCTGGGTAGTGTGTTCTTGTTTATTTTTTGGTGGTAAAAGGTAGTTGATATAGCATGTATTTTGGTGTCAGATAGGCCTACATGCAAATCCCAGCTCCTTCTCTTTCTGGATATGATTTTGGACAGTGTAATCTTTCAAGCCTCAATTTTTATCATCTTAACACTATGAATTAAGTATTAAAAATGAAGTAGTAAGGCCGGGCGCGGTGGCTCAAGCCTGTAATCCCAGCCCTTTGGGAGGCTGAGGCGGGTAGATCACGAGGTCAAGAGATGGAGACCATCCTGGTCAACATGGTGAAACCCCGTCTCTACTAAAAATACAAAAATTAGCTGGGCATGGTGGCGTGTGCCTGTAATCCCAGCTACTCAGGAGGCTGAAGCAGGAGCATTGCTTGAACCCAGGAGGTGGAGATTGCAGTGAACCGAGATCGCGCCATTGCACTCCAGCCTGGGTAACGAGCGAAACTCTGTCTAAAAAAAAAAAAGAAGAAGAAGAAGTAGTACTTAATTCATAGGGTTATTAGAGAGTTTTAAAGGGATTTTGAGTGTAAAAGAGTTTATACTGAATACTATACACCTGTTCATTAGCTCAATAATCTAAGGATACTACTGACTGTAAGATCTCCATCACACAGACATAGCTGCAAGACCAATGTATAAAACACTTCCCAGGGCTGGGAGGGGTGGCTGATGCCTGTAATCCTAGCACTTTGGGAGCCCAAGGCAGGAGGATTCTTTGAACCCAGGAGTCCAAGACCAGCCTGGGCAAATGAGACCCTTGACTCTATTAAAAAGTAATAACAATAAGACGACTGGGCGTGGTGCCTCACACCTGTAATCCCAGCACTTTGGGAGGCCGAGGCAGGAGCCTAAGACTGAGAAAAACTCGTCTCTATTAAAAATACAAAAAATTGCCGGGCACGGTGGCTCAAGCCTGTAATCCCAGCATATTGAGAGGCTGAGGCAAGTAGATCACGAGGTCAGGAGTTTGAGACCAACCTGACCAACAGGGCGAAACCTTGTCTCTACTAAAAATACAAAAATTAGCCGGCCATGGTGGCGGGCGCCTGTAATCCCAGCTATTCAGGAGGCTGAGGCAGAACTGCTTGAACCCGGGAGACGGAGGTTGCAGTAAGCCAAGAATGCCCCCACTGCACTCCAGCCTGGGCGAAAGAGCGAGACTCCATCTCAAAAATAAATAAATAAATAAATAAATAAATAAATGGGTTGCAGACAGGCGTGGTGACTCATGCGTATAATCCTAGCACTTTGGGAGGCCCAGGTGGGCAGACCGCTTGAGCCCAGGAGTGCAAGATCAGCTTGGGCAACCTGGTGAAAACCCCTTTTCTATTTAAATAAATAAGTAAATAGAATAGTTTGCAAAGTTGAGATCATGGCAATTTTTTTTTTAAAGAAAACACTCAAAGCAGTCCCTCATACAAGTATATAACTCAAGATATTGCTTGTATTCTTTATAACTTGGGCAGGCTGCAATAAGTCATATTGCTGAAGATTTAAGACCCCATGAGCAAGGAGCGTGTGGTCCTGGCGAAAGGAAAAGGAGGCTTTGGAGGACCTTTGGAGGAGAATTCGTTTAGTTATCTAAGCTGTGTAGCTGAGAAGCTCCTCTCGTCCCCCATTTAAAGGTTGCAGCAGAGCCACCGCCTCCGGAGCAGGTTTGCCCGCCGGCTTCGGCTTTGCAGCGAGCACCGCCTACAACTCCCGGCATGCCGCCGGGCGTGGGGCCCGCACGTAGACTCCATTTCCCAGCCCGCCCCGGGGCTAGGGCAGGACGTGCCGGCGCCTATAAGAGACAGAGCGCTGCGGCCGGAGCCTATTGTTAGCCGGAGCCGGGGCGGTTCTGGGCATCTGCTGCTGGGGGCGCCCGAGTTGCCGGAGCTACCCGGCCCTCTCTGCCTGCCGGCCGGGCTGCCCACCGCCCTCCCTCCCCGCCCTGCCGCCCTGGGAGCTCCCTGGCCGTCGCCGCGGGGCCCGGGACTCGCTAGCTCCTCCCTTCTTCCCACCCGGGCTAGGGCGGCGGCGGCGGCAGCGGGGGCGGCAGAGACCATCACGGGAGGAGGCAGCTGCGGCGGGGCCGGTAATGGGCCTAGGGGTGCGGGGCGGAGGGTGCCGCCTCGTCCTTTCTCGGGATCGGCCCTCGGGCGGCTGTGGAGGAGTGGTCAAGCCCAGAGCCGTGCGGATGGAGGGGTCAGAAATGAGAGGCTCGGACGGGAGCGGTCGGGGGGCAGGGAGGTCGGGTGCCGTTGGGAAGGAACGGCCTCGGGAAGAGGCGTGGGAGCCAGGGACACCCAGGACGCGGGCCCGGACTGCGGGGGCAGCTCGAGGGAGACCACTGGGCGGCTTGGAAGCCTGCAGGATTGCGGATGAGGATTGAGTTCGAAATGGAGTGGAGAATGATGTAGGATGGAGGAAAGTGAAGGAAGGGGAGGGGGAATAGAGGAAAATGTGGGAGGAGTGGTTGGGAATTTGTGAGTAGCAGGCAGGAAGGGATGAGGAAGGCTGGGCAGGGGCTGCAGAGGGTTGGAATGAGCGGGAAGGTTAGCGGGAATCAGAGGAAAGTGGGCCGAGAGCTGAAGGGTTCCGCAGGCGTGTTCATTAAAGGGAACTGGTGACTTGACATGTCTCTTCGCTCTGGTCCTGATGTTTCCCATATTTCTGGCGTCGTGTAGGAAAAGGAAGGCATCGCTTCCCCTGGTTGCTAGCTTGATCCTTTTTCATAGGCCCAAACAGGCAGCCAACTGCCACCAGTCCCTTTTAGTGCTGCGGTCTTGATTCATCCTTTTAAAGGGGTTGAGAGTGGCAGTGTGACACACAAACTGTTCTTCAATATGAAATGCTAGAAGTTATCCCCAAAAGACAACACTGTCCCCTTGTCTTGCAGTTTTCAGTTCAAGGTAAATCCATAGTTCCGATTTTTTCTTTCCTGGCTTTCTGTTTTGTAAATCTCCAAAGCCAGGATGTTGGTTGTGCCGGTGTGATAAATGACTGGATATCCTTGAGAGTTAATGCAGCATCATGTTCCAGTTCCCACAGAGATCTCCTGTCTTCCACACGATGGTAGTTTAGGCATGGAAAGCCAAATTCTAACCTTGTGTTAGTGAATGGGGAGTGGGGGTGGTGGGTGCACGGCTTTCTTTAAATACCTAGCTTAAATGGAGGGTTTTCATTTGAGTGCTCTATAAGCTCATGATCCTGGTGATCGCAAAGACACATGGATCCATCAAATTTATAGTATTTGAGAATCAACCACAGCATCTTGTGAAAGGAGAAACAGGGCAGGTCATTTTATTCAGGTTTATCATAACACAGCAGCAGCCCTTCCTTCCACCAACCCAGCTACAGATGGCAGCCCTTACCATCTTACCAGAGATTTTGGTTTCTTGACCTTTAGCAGAAGGTTGGGTTCCAGTCGAGTGGAGAGGCTTTCTCCTGTGGGATGTAGCTTATTGCTTTGGACTCATTTAAGAAAAAAACTTGCATTACCTAAACTTTGCAAATACATTCTTCTAGAAAATTTTGCTTGGGCCAGTCCCTCTTGCTGGTCTCACATATACTAGGTTTTAAAATTTTTATTTGTTTGTTTTGGTGATTATAGGAGTCCTTAGGCCTGAAAAAAAAAAAAAAAGATCTAGTACTAAAATACACATATGCTGGTAGACCTGTTTATACGGTGCTAACCTAATGTCCTTCTATGCTGTGGATCTTAACTATTTCATATACCACTGGGAAATGTTCAGCCAGAAACCCTTGAGAAAAGACCACAAGACGTGTAGCCAGAAAGTGGCAGGTGACCTTTAATTTCACTGGGATTTAAAAGCTTTTATAGAGGGTTGCGTTGTTTTCTCCAAAAGCATTTGTTGAGTTGGTCATTTTGACAGTTAACTGTCAGTTTTTACCTGCATTCCCAGGCTCTAAAACTTACAAGTTTCTCTCTTAAACACAGGCATTGATCCTCTACCAATGAATAGGTGAGAGAGGCAGGAATGACTGATTTATAGTTGTAGTTTGAAAGATTAATTTGATTAATTGGAAAGTCTGGAAACTTTTAATTGTTACTATTGCAAAGAAAGATTTCTTTTTTACAAATTTATTTAAAATTATTATTTGTTTTTTATTTTTGAGACAGGGTCTGACTCTGTCACCTAGGCTGGAGTGCAGTGGCTTGATCTCAGCTCACTGCAACCTCTGCCTCCTGGGTTCAAGCAATCCCCCCACCTTAGCCTCCCGAGTAGCTGGGATGACAGGCACACACCACCATGCCCAGCTAATTTTTGTATTTGTAGTAGAGGGGGAGTTTTGCCATGTTGGCCAGATTGGTCTTGAACTCCTAGCCTCAAGTGATCTGCCCACCTTGGCCTCCCAAAGTGCTGGGCCTACAGGCATGTGCCCCACCACACTGGGCCAATTTTTAAAAAAATACAGAGACAGGGTTTCTCTATGTTGGCCAAGTTGGTTTTGCACTCCCGGCCACAAGCAATCCTCCCGCCTCAGCCTCCCAAAGAAGGATTTCTTCAGGGCACTATGGAAGGGAACAGGAGGTTTGTTCTTGGTGTCCAGTGAACATCTTTATCTAAATGTCAAGTTCACATCAGAGAGTTGGACAAGAGGAGCCAGGTTGAAATTTAATCTTGTGTTGTTGTCAGGACATAATAGATCTTTTTTCTTTTTAAAAAAATAATGGAGCAGCAGCATAAAAAAAAAAAAAAGAAAGAAAGAAAAGAAAAGAAAGTGAAAAATAATGGAGCCAATGTCAGAGGAAGTGCTGCTAACAGAGCCTGGGTAGGGTGAAGAGACGAACGGAGTCTCCTTGAGGATTTCACTGAGTTCCATCCACGTGAATGGAAGAGTTTGATCATAGTCAGTATACATGTTATTTACACAAATAGCCATAGGTTCCAGTTGTTCTCAGACAGCTTAAAGAAAATACTTTTCTCCTAGGTGTCACATCTTTTTTCTTCTTTTTTTTTTTTTTTTTTTTTTTTTCTTTTTGAGACGGAGTTTCGCTCCGTCACCCAGGCTGGAGTGCAATGGCGCGATCTCGGCTCACCGCAACCTCCGCCTCCTGGGTTCAGGCAATTCTCCTGCCTCAGCCTCCTGAGTAGCTGGGATTACAGGTACGCGCCACCATGCCCAGCTAATTTTTTGTATTTTTAGTAGAGACGGGGTTTCACCATGTTGACCAGGATGGTCTCGATCTCTTGATCTTGTGATCCACCCGCCTCGGCCTCCCAAAGTGCTGGGATTACAGGCTTGAGCCACCGCGCCCGGCCCTTTTCTTCTTTCTTACCTACCTCCTATCATTGCCCAGAAACCACTATTCCAGAAGTAGAAAAAAAAAGAGGAGGAGAATAGAACAAGCAGCCATCAATCCTTCCTGCATCCAGGTTCATAAAAAGTAATCTAAAGAGAACTGATACTCCCGAGGGTTAAGACCATGGAGAATTCCGTTTTTTGTTTTGTTTTGTTTTGTTTTTTAGATGGAGTCTTCTCTCTGTCATCCAGGCTGGAATGCAGTGGTGTGATCCTGGCTCACTGCAACCTCTGCCTCCCAGGTTCAAGTGATTCTTCTGCCTCAGCCTCCCGAGTAGCTAGGGTTACAGTCGCCCACCACCACACCCATCTTAATTTTTTATTTTTAGTAGAGATGGGGGTTTCACCATGTTGACCAGGCTGGTCTCGAACTCCTGACCTCAGGTGATCCGCCTGCCTCAACCTCCCAGAATGCTGGGATTACAGGTGTGAGCCACCATTCCCTGCCGACCATGGAGAATTCTAGTAATGATGATTTTGGAGCAGACACAAGTTTATATGGGGCTTAAAGAGAAATATTCAAAGGAAACACTACTAGAAGCCCAGGGACACCTGAGGAAAGAACAGGAGTATACATTTATTTACAGTCATACATCCTTGAGTGTGTCCAGGTCAAGGAAGAAGCTAGCTAGCTCCTTCCTTTTTTTATTTTTATTTTTGACAAGGTCTCGCCCTGTTGCCCAGGCTGGAGGGCAGTGGCACAATCATAGCTCACTGCAAGCCTCGACCTCTTGGGCTCAAGCGATCCTCCCACCTCAGCCTCCCAAGTAGCAGGGACTACAGGCACATACCACCATACCCTGCTAATTTTTGTATTTTTTGTAGAGATGGAGTTTTGCCATGCTGCCCAGGCTGGTCTCTAGCTCCTAGACTCAAGCAATCTATCTCCCTCAGTCTCCCAAAGTGCTGGGATTATAGGTGTGAGCCATTGTCCCTGTCCAAAAGCCACTTTTCTAGTAGCAGCACTAACTGAAGCTCAGTTAAAACTCAGGTGGAGCCGGGCGCGGTGGCTCAAGCCTGTAATCCCAGCACTTTGGGAGGCCGAGGCGGGTGGATCACGAGGTCAAGAGATCGAGACCATCCTGGTCAACACGGTGAAACCCCGTCTCTACTAAAAATACTAAAAATTAGCTGGGCATGGTGGCGTGTGCCTGTAATCCCAGCTACTCAGGAGGCTGAGGCAGGAGAATTGCCTGAACCCAGGAGGCGGAGGTTGCAGTGAGCCGAGATCGCGCCATTGCACTCCAGCCTGGGCAACAAGAGCGAAACTCCGTCTCAAAAAAAAAAAAAAAAAAAAAAAACTCAGGTGGGCCTAAAACCCTCTGAGAAAGCAGATTGAGGCTCAGGCTGATTTATCATGTAGCTGATAAGTGGGGAGGCAAAATTAAATTCAGTGGGCAACATTATTCTATCTCTTTAAAAAAAATCCCACCCACATAAGTATTCCATCACAAGGGGTTCCTCCTCCCCCTACAATAGAATGGAATGAGAAATGTGTTTGTTGATAGGTAGCTTTAAACCCAGCTAAAATCTTAACCCATAAAAAGCCCTTGACTCCCTCCTTTCTTACCATGCCCTAAGAATGTGACCTCTGATGGTAAGATCAGTAACCTGAAGAACTGAACTGATATTTTGGACTTATTTTTAAATTTAATTACAATTTTTATCAAATACTTTATTCTTTTTTTTCTTTCCTGGCCAAATTTATTTCAGGAATGTGCTTGTCTGAGACTTCTGATGGCTGAGGTTTCTTAGGTACATCTTGTGACTTGAATGCAGAATTTGATGCAATCTGGATAGATTAGGAAATATCTTCTCTAAGGTACTTATTAGGTCTGGTTGACTTTGCAGAGCTGATCCAAGAACAGGCAAATTGCTTCCAACAAACACAGCCCAGAAAAACAGCTCTGTAGCAAGCATCTCTTGACACCACAGTATATTCTGGGTAGCTGCTCTGCAGTAATGCAGCCCTGTCGCTCTGGGCAGTGTTGTTATTCCTGCTGCATAATTAGCAACTGGTGAGATCATAGTCTGGGTAGGTTCTGGCATTACTGAGGCAGGGGAGGGTTCGTATCTCATCACACATGGCTCCAGCTCTGACAGCATTTGTGCTGAGCAGATTTCTGTCCTTCTGGAATTTAAATCGAAGGATGAAATAAAAAGATTTGTACCTAGGAAATGAACTATCTCAGACTCCTTGGTTGTATGAAGCCGTGTTGAAAACAACACTGCTTGCCATATTGATATAAGCAGAATAAATGGTTACTTCTCTTGCTATTTGTTTTCCCCTGATTTCTTTATGGAGGGCAAAGATTGTAAAGCTACAATGTCCTTGCACAGAGGATGGTAACAGACCAGATGACCCCTATTTTATAGAGCCGTATGAGGCCAAGAAAGATTCTGGGTTTTGGAGCCATGCAGATTCTAATCTTGGGTCCATTACTTGGTACCAAATTTGACCTTTATAGAAGCCTGGTGAGACACTTTACACTTGTAAAGGTCTGGGTGAAGGGTTTTCCTGACTGCTAATGTCCTTCAAAATTGAGAGCATAGAGCAGTATTTCCCACAGTGTACTCTAAGCATTATATGCACCCTAAAGGAACTTGGAAACAGTGGGTTCCACAATCAGGTTTGTAGAAACACTGCATTCTGTGTTCTCAGGCCTCACCATCCTTACTAGTATATGTAAAGCCTCTAAGAGGTTCCACTATAGGCAATTTTCTAAACCCTTTTGACACAGCAGTCCTATTTCCATGTAAAAGCTATTAATATCCTTAAGATACGCATTTTGGGAAATGCCAGGCCTTATCACTGGGAAAAATAAGCAGGTCTAGCTGGGTGCAGTGACGCATGTCTGTAGTCCCAGCTACTCTGGAGGCTGAGGCAGGAGGATTGCTTGAGCCCAGGTGTTCAAGACCAGCCTGGGCAACACAGTGAGACCCTGGCTCTAAAACAAATAAATAATTGGGTCTAGTCTTGGTTTAGGCAAAGTCTAATTCTGCTTTTCTTTTTTTCCTTTTTTTTGCTAATCCAACAAGCAGCAGTGATAACTGTGCTTTTGATCTCAAGTTCTTCTCACTGGTCCCTTGGAGAGCTTTCTTGTGATCAGAAGAGCAGCTACTGTGATTCCTGGGCTAATGAAGCCTAGACCTCAGCTGGATTGGAAGCAGAGGCCTTCCCTCCACTGGGAAAGGTTCTGCTGCTACCCACCTCATTATTCTAAGAGTGATTGAGACTGGAGGGGCTGAAGGGAAACAAAAGTAGGAGAATGGTGGTCAGAGTTAGTAGAGAAATAACGTAATCTTGAGAAATCAGACATCAGCGCTAAGTCAGGTGCTTTCTTACTTCAGTGACCTGTGTGTATAGACTTGGGAGGGGTCTGTCTGTGGGCAGGAATGCTGATTTCTTTTTTCCCCTGGGCAGAATCCTAATGTACCTGGCTAGCTGGTGGTGAACAGGGGCTTTGGGGCCAACTCGGTGGGCTCCCCAAGGAAACCCCTTTGAAACCAATGGATGCATTCACGGGCTCGGGTCTCAAGAGGAAGTTTGATGATGTGGATGTGGGCTCATCAGTTTCCAACTCAGATGATGAGATCTCTAGCAGTGACAGTGCTGACAGCTGCGACAGCCTCAATCCTCCTACCACTGCCAGCTTCACACGTGAGTAAGCTGCTCCCTCCCTGCCTATACCCACATTCCCTAAGCATCAGAACCCATGGCAGCTCGAGATAGCTTCTATGTAGCTTGGAGATATGCCTTTAATCATCATCTTTCCTTGCTCCTTGGAGGACCTCATTTCTCTAATATCATAGACTAAAGTCTGATTTATTCTAGCTGATTTTACTTCTGTTGTGGTTTGCTGGTTCCCAGAATGGGTTAAATTAGATTGAAGAAGGAGTCCAGGACTCTACCCTGCCCCCACTACAGTCCCAGAGAGTTCCAGGAAATTGTAGCTGTAGCAGAATATAAATGCTTGCTACTTGGACAACTGGGGCAAATCCAGATTTCTTAATTCTTTTTTTTTTTTTTTTTTTTTTTTTGAGATGGAGTTTCACTCTTATTGCCCAGGCTGAAGTGCAGTGATGCGATCTCAGCTCACTGCAACCTCTACCTCCCAGGTTCAAGTGATTCTCTGCCTCAAGCCTCTTGAGTAGCTTGGATTACAGGCACCCGCCACCATGTCCAGCTGATTTTTTGTATTTTTAGTAGATAAAGGGTTTCATCATTTTGGCCAGGTTGGTCTCCAATTCCTGACCTCAGGTGATCCACCCGCCTTGGCCTCCAAAAGTACAGGGATCACAGGCATAAGCCACCATGCCCTGCCAAGATTTCTTAATTCTTACAACTCAATTAGTTCTTGGAAAGACTTCTGATGCTATATATGAGGGGTTGCCCATGTGTCCATGGTCTAAATCTGGCCCAATGCCTGTTTTGTAAATAAAGTTTTATTGGAATGGCCAGGTTCTGTGGCTCATGCCTGTAATCTAGCACTTTGGGAGGCCAAGGCAGGTGGATCACCTGAAGTTCAGAGCTCGAGACCAGCCTGACCAACATGGTGAAACTCCATCTTGACTAAAAATACAAAATTAGCCGGGCGTGGTGGCGCATGCTTATAATCCTAGCTACTTTGGGAGGCTGAGGCAGGAGAATCGCTTGAACCCGGTAGGAAGAGGTTGCGGTGAGCCGAGATCGTGTCATTGCACTCCAGCCTGGGCAACAAGAGCAAAACTCCATCTCAAACATAAATAAATAAATAAAGTTTTATTGGAACACAGTCATACCCATTGTCTCTGATGGCTTTCATGCTACAGTGGCAGAGTTGAATTTATTGCAACAGAGACCTCATGGCCTGTAGAGCCTAAAATAGTAACTGTCTGGCACTTGACAGTTTGCTGTCCCCTGCTATAGAGATGTGCTATCCAGTGGAATTTTCTGTTACGATAAAAATGTTCTGGTCGGGCTCAGTGGCTCATGCCTGTAATCCCAGCACTTTGGTAGGTCGAGGCAGTCAGATCACCTGAGGTCAGGAGTTCAAGACCAGCCTGGCCAACATGGCGAATTAAAATCTCTATTAAAAATACAAAAAAAATTAGCCAGGTGTGATGGCGGTCACCTGTAATCTCAGCTACTCTGAGACAAGAGAATCACTTGAACCCGGGAGGCAGAGGTTGCAGTGAGCCAGGATCGCATTATTGCACTCCAGCCTGGGTGACAGAGCGAGACTCCATCTCAAAAAAAAACAAAAAAAAGTTCTGTATTTCCATTGTCCAACTGTAGCCAGTTGCCATATGTGGCTATTGAGCACTTGAAATGTGGTTAGTGGCTGGGCGCATTGGCTCATGCCTGTAATCTCAGTACTTTGGGAGGTTGAGGTTAGTAGATCACTTGAACTCAGGAGTTTGAGACCAGCCTGGGCAACATGGTGAAAGCCCATCTCTACAAAAAATACAAAAATTGGCTGGATGTGGTGGCACGCACCTATAGTCCCAGCTACTCTGGGGGCCAAGGTGGGAGCATCACTTGAGCCTAGGAGGTTGAGGCTGCAGTGAGCCGTGATTGTGCTACTGGACTCTAGCCTGGGTGACAGAGTAAGACCCTGTCTCAGAGGAAAAAAGAAAATAAAGAAATGCGATTAGTATAATTGAGGAGCTGAATTTTAAATTTAATTTTAATTAGCTTAAATTGCCACATGTGGCTAGCAGCCGCAGTATTGGAGAGCAAAGCTATAGATTGTCATATCCACAAAAGATTACCTAGAGATCCTCTTCCCAGGTGATGTCTAAAAATGGATTTTGTGGGCCGGGCGCGGTGGCTCAAGCCTGTAATCGCAGCACTTTGGGAGGCCGAGGTGGGTGGATCACAAGGTCGAGAGATCGAGACCAACCTGGTCAACATGGTGAAACTCCGTCTCTACTAAAAATACAAAAAATTAGCTGGGCATGGTGGCATATGCCTGTAATCCCAGCTACTCAGGAGGCTGAGGCAGGAGAATTGCCTGAACCCAGGAGGCGGAGGTTGCGGTGAGCCGAGATTGCGCCATTGCACTCCAGCCTGGGTAACAAGAGCGAAACTCCATCTCAAAAAAAAAAAAAAAAAAAAAAAAAAGGATTTTGTGGTCATGTGTTTAGGTGTAGTCAGTATGGAGGCAGTGGTATGAACCGGCCGAGGTTCAAGGCCCCTTCCAACAGAGCATTTAGGATTTGAAGATACTAGACAGTTCTCTAGGCATAGGGAGCATGTAGCGAAGAGTTGAGAGCCTAGATGGATGAGAAAGAAGAAGCTCCCCAAACAGGTCCTCCCTGAGTTAATAAAACATCTCTTGGCCAGGCGCGGAGGCTCACACCTGTAATCCCAGCACTTTGGGAGGCTGAAGCAGGCAGATCACCTGAGGTCGGGAGTTCAAGACTAGCCTGGCCAACATTGTGAAACCCTGTCTCTTATAAAATACAAAAATTAGCTGGGCATGGTGGCACACGCCTGTAATTCCAGCTCCTTGGGAGGCAGAGGCTGCAGTGAGCCAAGATGGCGCCACTGCACTCCAGCCTGGGCAACAGAGCGAGACTCTGTCTCAAAAAATATATATATATAATATTAATAAACATCTCTCTGTGCTCCCTTCTCAGCCACATCCATCTTGAAGCGGCAGAAGCAGCTGCGGAGGAAGAATGTACGCTTTGACCAGGTGACTGTTTACTACTTTGCCCGGCGCCAGGGTTTCACCAGCGTGCCCAGCCAGGGTGGTAGCTCTTTGGGCATGGCTCAGCGCCATAACTCTGTACGGAGCTACACACTCTGTGAGTTTGCCCAAGAACAGGAGGTAAACCATCGAGAGATTCTGCGTGAGCACCTGAAGGAAGAGAAACTCCACGCCAAGAAAATGAAGGTGCTTAAGGGGTCTGGGGTCTGCTGCTGCCCATGTGGGAAACCATTTAGGTTCATTGATTGATTGATTCATTGATTGAGGGGGTTTTTTTTTGTTTGTTTTTTGTTTTTTTTGAGACAGAGTCTTGGTCTCTTGCCCAGGCTGGAGTGCACTGGCATGATCTCAGCTCACTGCAAGCTCTGCCTCCGAGGTTCAAGCGATTTCTCCTGAGTAGATGGGATTACAGGTGTGCACCCTTTTAGTTTTTGTATTTTTAGTACAGACAGGGTTTTGCCATGTTGGCCAGGCTGGTCTTGAACTCCTGGTCTCAAGTGATCCACCTGTCAGCCACCCAAAGTGCTGAGATTCCAGGCATGAGCCACTGCACCCAACTTATTATTTTTTTTAATTTGACTGTTGTCATTGGGGCATAGAGATTTTACCTCTTTCTAATGAAAAATCTCAGATTTGGAATCAGATCTCAGTCCAAGACGTTACTCTTTTTATCTGGCAGGGGAGTCTATGAGGTATAGCAAAATTGCTTCCCTAGAATTTCCCCCTCCCAAATCCCCACTGCCTCCCTCAATTTTATTTTATTGCTTTTTATTTTTTATTTTTTTTGAGACAGGGTCTCTGTCACCCAGGCTGGAGTGCAGTGGTGCAGTCATAGCTCACTGCAGCCTTGAACTCCTGGCCTCGGGCCATCTGCCCATCTCAGCCTCCCAAGTACCTGGGGACCACACCACGCCTGGCTAGTATGTTTTTTTAATAGTAATGGGGTCTTGCAACGTTGCCTAGGTTGGTCTCAACTCCTGGGCTCAAGTGGTCGTCCCCTTCGGCCTCCCAAAGTGCTGGGCTTACAGGCATGAGCCACCATGCCCAACCTCAAAGATACTTTTTTTAAGTTTAAAATGTGAATACCTGAAGGCATTCAGGTCTGTCACACTGGAACCCAAGGAAGCACAATTTTCAGTTTCTGGTCAAATGATTGTCCCTTGTCTGGATGCAAAGAACAGGTTTTGGATATTTCTGAAAGGATCCTGCTGTTTCTATAACCCCTGTCACCCTTAAGTGATAATCTTGTAGGTGCAAACAGCATTATCAAATAGTTATTTAGACTCATATAATACTGCGCCTGCCACCTGATACAGCACCAGCTCCTCGATAGCTTTTCATAGCCACCCATTTTTTATCTTAGCAATGTTGGGTATTCCCACAGCCATAGTTTTACTAGTTCTCAAAAATTTCCCCCCGAGTTCCTGATTCCAAATTTGAAGAACACTGGTTTAAGCCTGGCCAGGTTTCTTTGGAGCCCAAAGCATGCTGACCCATATTAAAACAGGCAGCTCCATTATTTGCAGAGTCATGAGAGAGACACATTAGAATGTGGTAGAGTTAGAGAAACGGTGGCAGAGGATGTAGGCTAACCAGAGCACCTCAGTCCTTTCTTCCTCTGAGAGCTGTATGTCAACTTCCCTCAGACTATTCCTAAACCCCTACACCTGTTTTTCTCACTATAGAATGACATTCAGGCTTCCCTTTCCTCTGTCTGAGGAATTCCATCACTGACCCTCTAACCTTCCAGCTGCTGTAGCAACAGCTGGGCAAACAAACACTGTTCTCATCAGTTGCAATGAAGACATTCCTTCCTTTCCCTAGAAGAAAACTCTTTGGCAGAGGAATGATCTGTCAAAACAGTATACCATCCTGTTCTGTGTTCTCCACTTACAGGAATTCTAGGGACAAAGCCAGGCAAACCCAAGACAGATACAGGATCTCTACTTGTTAGCAGGATGTTTAGTGAGTACCAGCAGTGGTAACATCTAATACATTTTTTTGTTTTGTTAAAGATGGGGTCTCTTTGTCCAGGCTAGTCTCAAACTCCTGGGCTCAAGTGATCCTTCCACTTAAGCCTCCCAAGTAGTTGGGACAACTGGTGTGGGCCACTGCATCAGGCTTCTTTTTTTTTTTTTTTTTTTTTTTAACCTTACCTAGTTTTTTCTTTTCTTGAGACAGGGTCTCACTCTGTCACCCAGGCTGGAGTGCAGAGGCCTGATTATAGCTCATTATAACTTCAAACTTCTGGCCTCAAGCAGTCCTCCTGCCTCAGCCTCCCAAATAGCTGTGACTACAGCTGCACTACCACCATACCCGGTTAATTTTTGTAGGGTTTTTGTTTTTCTTTTCTTTTCTTTTTGGAAACGGAGTTTCACTCCTGTTACCTAGGCTGGAGTGCAATGGCACAATCTTGGCTCACTGCAACTTCTGCCTCCTGGGTTCAGGCGATTCTCCTGCCTCAGCCTCCTGAGTAGCTGGGATTACAGGCACACACCACCAGACCCAGCTAATTTTTTGTATTTTTAGTAGAGACGGGGTTTCACCATGTTGACCAGGATGGTCTCGATCTCTTGACCTCGTGATCCACCCGCCTTGGCCTCCCAAAGTGCTGAGATTACAGGCTTGAGCCACCGCACCCAGCCTTGTCTTTCTTTTCTAAGACAAGGTCTCACTCTGTTGCCCAGGCTGGAGTGCAATGGCATGATCTCAATTAACTGCAACCTCAACCTCCTGGGTTCAAGTGATTCTTGTTCCTCAGTCTTCCTCAGCTAAGATTATAGCCATGTACTCTGGCTAACTTTTTATTTTTAGTTTGGCCAGGCTGGTCTCAAAAACTCCTGGCCTCAAGTGATCCACCTGCCTCGGCCTCCCAAAGGGCTAGGATTATAGGAGTGAGCCACCGTGTCTGGCCAATTTTTGTAGAGACAGGGTCTTTGCTCTGTTGCCCACACTGGTCTTGAACTCCTGGCCTCAAGTGCTTATTCCACCTTAGTCTCTCAAAGGTGCTGGGATAACCGTCATGCGCCACTGCACCAGGCCTATTTTTAAGCCCTCTATAAGGGAGGCAGTTGGTTTCAAAAATGCACATTCTGCATCTCTTATGTCTCATGTACCATCTAATGTTTGTTTTCCTTTAGGGTTGTTTCAGCAGCTGCTTGGTGTTCTGCAACTTTAGTTCACTATAATTTTTTTTTTTTTTTAGATGGAGTCTCATTCTGTCACCCATGCTGGAGTATAATGGCTCTACCTTGACTTCCTGCAACCTCCATCTCCCTGATTCAAGTGATTCTCCTGCCCCGCCTCCCGAGTAGCTGGGATTACAGGCACCCACCACCATGCCTGGTTAATTTTTTGTATTTTTTAGTAGAGACAGGGTTTCACAGTGTTAGCCAGGATGGTCTTGATCTCCTGGCCTCGTGATCCACCCGCCTCAGCCTCCCAAAGTGCTGGGATTACAGGTGTGATTTAACTATAATTTTTCTAATATTTTCATTTAATTTTTTGTATTTTGGCCTGTTACCCCTATGGAATTCATTATCATGAATAGTGTAAATTGAGAATTTTTTTCCCCCAGAAAATATCCAGTTGTTCTAATACCATTTAAAAACTAGAAGACTTTTCTCACTGATTTGAAATGCCACTTCTATCCTGATACTTAAATTCTTGTATCTACATGAGTTTCCTTCTGTTACATCTTTAATCCCTGGCTTATAAGAGGACAGTGGGAGGAGGGATATTTAGGGGTAGATCAAGCCTGGAGACTAGACAGGAGCAATCCTGAGGTCAACAAAAAGGCCCTTGTAGTTGGCCTGCCTAGTACCGAAATAACTGACCAGGGAACCTCCAGAAGCCCCACTTTACTGCTCTTCATTTCTCCACTGCTTCCCCTACAAACAAACAAAAAAACCAGGTGTTTAGCTGATTACCCAAGTCCATTGCATCACATCTCTCCCAGGAGTTGTTCCTTTACCAGCACTACTCTGTGGTTGTCTGATGAAATCAACCAAAGACTCCAGTCACGTGGCTTTCATCCTGCTAGCAGCTTCCAGAGCCCCAGAGATTATGAGGCCTCATTTTCTTTACTTGAATTCTCTAGTGAGTTTTCAGAACTCTTTCAGCCACGGCTTGTCTTCAATCTGTCCTTCCACCGAGACTCCCTTTCTTGGCTCTCCATCGATCCCAGCCCAGAAAACCCAGATTTCTGCCTGTAGATAGTACGTGCAGTATTATTTATACCACCTTCCCTCACATACAGCTTTTCTTTGAAGTCAAATAAAAAAGGATTAGGCCTGGTGCAGTGGGTCACACCTGTAATTGTAGCACTTTGGGAGGCCAAGGCGAGCAGATCTTGGGGTCGGGAGTTCGAGACCAGCCTGGCCAACATGGTGAAACCCTGTCTCTACTAAAAACACAAAAATTAGCCGTGTAGGCTGGGCGCAGTGGCTCACGCCTGTAATCCCAGCACTTTGGGAGGCCGAGGTGGATCATGAGGTCAAAAGATCGAGACAATCCAGGTCAACATGGTGAAACCCCGTCTCTACTAAAAATATAAAATTTAGCTGGGCATGGTGGCACATGCCTGTAGTCCCAGCTACCCGGGAGGCTGAGGCAGGAGAATTGCTTAAACCCAGGAGGCGGAGGTTGCAGTGAGCTGAGATCGCGCCATTGCACTCCAGCCTGGGTAACAAGAGCGAAACTCAGTCTCAAAAAAAAAAAAATTAGCCAGGCATGGTGGTGGGCACCTGTTATCCCAGCTAATCAGGGGGCTGAGGCAGGAGAGTCACTTGAACCCAGGAGCTGGAGGTTGCAGTGAGCCGAGATCGTGCACTGTACCCCATCCTGAGCAACATAGTGAGACCCTGTCTCAAAAAAAAAACCATAAAGGATTAGAAAGGAGAAGGAATACATTTCTTCTTGGCTAAGGGCTTTCTTTTAACACCTGTTAATATATTTGCTTTTTCTCCTTACAGTAAAATGAAGCTCTTTAGTGCATGCACAGGTAATTGTTCACACTGTGAGGATTCGAGTTCATTGATTAAGATCTGGTAGCCTTTTACTATACTTTAATGTACGCTTTTTTTCAAGAAGGTAGTTTTGCATTCAATGGGTGCAAGTTGAAGAGTGTTTCACTTTTTTCTGTATATCCAAGGATCATCCAGTCATTCATATCCTTTTCCTGTGTTAGAAGGCAAGTGAGCATAAATTAGAGGACACATGTCTGGAAATGGAGGATATGTTTGTGGAAGTAGATTTTTGTGTAGGAGGGAAGATGAGACAGGTTTTTGAGCAGCTTGGACCCAGAAAGGTGATGCTATATGAGATTTCCTGTCTTCCCACTCTGGATTTATTCTTTTGATCTGCACTAGCAAATACAGTAGCCAGTAGTCACGTATGGCCATTCAATTACAATTATGTAAATTGGGCTGGCACAGGGGACCCCAGCACTTTGGGAAGCCAAGGTGTGTGGATCACTTGAGGCCAGGAGTTCAAGACTAGCCTGGCCAACACACTGAAACCCCATCTCTACTAAAAATAGAAAAAATTAACCAGGTGTGGTGGCTCACGCCTGTAATCCCAGCTACTTGGGAGACAGGAGAATCGCTTAAACCCAGGAGGCGGAGGTTGCAGTGAGCCAAGATTGCAGCACGGTACTTCCACCTATGACTGCCAGACTCTTTTCTCAAAAAAAATGACAGTTTTCCAGTTGCTGCGTTTCTAGTGCTCAGTAGCCACATGTGCCAGTAGCTGCCATTGTTTTGGACAGCAGATATTCCCATGATTGCAGAAAGTTCAAGGCTCGGCCGGGCGCGGTGGCTCAAGCCTGTAATCCCAGCACTTTGGGAGGCTGAGGCGGGTGGATCACAAGGTCAAGAGATCGAGACCATCCTGGTCAACATGGTGAAACCCCGTCTCTACTAAAAATACAAAAAAAAATTAGCTGGGCATGGTGGCGTGTGCCTGTAATCCCAGCTACTCAGGAGGCTGAGGCAGGAGAATTGCCTGAACCCAGGAGGCGGAGGTTGCGGTGAGCCGAGATCGCGCCATTGCACTCCAGCCTGGGTAACAAGAGCGAAACTCCGTCTCAAAAAAAAAAAAAAAAAAGAAAGTTCAAGGCTCTGGGATGGTCACTGTGAGGAGGTGCGTGCCACTCATACTGACTATGAGGCTAACCTTTCCTGTTTCTTGGCAGCTGACCAAGAATGGGACAGTGGAGTCAGTGGAGGCCGATGGTCTGACACTGGATGATGTATCAGATGAAGATATTGATGTGGAAAATGTGGAGGTGGATGATTACTTCTTCCTGCAGCCTTTGCCCACCAAACGGCGACGGGCCCTGCTGAGGGCTTCTGGGGTCCACCGCATTGATGCTGAAGAGAAGCAAGAACTTCGAGCCATCCGCCTGTCTCGGGAAGAATGTGGTTGTGACTGCCGACTGTATTGTGACCCAGAAGCGTGTGCCTGCAGCCAGGCTGGGATTAAATGCCAGGTCAGTCCAAGTTGGCCTGAGATACTGTATCTACACCAGGGTCAGTGGGTGCCACTGAACACAGCAGGCCCATTCAGGGATGGGTTTCCTATGGCTGTGAATACTCCCAGTTCCACAACCCTCCTCCATGAACACAGTAAGCGAAGAGCGCATGGCCAGGGATGGTGGCTCATGCCTCTAATCCTGGCTATTCAGGAGGCTGAAGTAGGAGGATCTCTTGCGTCCAGGCTCTTGAGTCCAGGAGGTTAAGGCTGCAGTTAGCTGAGTTTACAACAGTGCACTCCAGCCTGGGTGACAGACCTTGTCTCTTAAGAACAAAAATTATGTTTTTTGAAAAGAAAACAAGCATGACAGGATTCATAGGCTGTGAAGGTATCTCTTCTCTCTCTTCTCAGAGGTGAGAATAAGCAGCTGTGAGCAAGGGGATGAAGAGGAGTTAGTACATTTAACATTTAGTAATTGTTTCCTAAATACTGACTGATTCCTTGAGATAAAAGGAAGCAGGGCTGAGTGCTATGGCTCAAACCTATAATCCTAGCACTTTGGGAAGCTGACGTGGGCGGGCAGATTGCTTCCCAAGAGTTCGAGACCAGTCCAGGCAACATGGCTAAACCCCATCTCTACAAAAAATACAAAAATTAGCTGGGCGTGGTGGCCTGTAGTCCCAGCTACTTAGGAGGCTGAGATGGGAGGAGGATCACTTGAGCCTGGAGGCATAGGTTGCAGAGAGCTATGATCATGGCACTATACTCCAGCCTGGGCAACAGAGCAAGACCCCATCTCCAAAAAGAAGCAGAGAAATGAGGTAGGCCTACAGATTATATCTGTGAGCACTTAGTACCTTTACTCCAATTTTGAAGAATCAAAATAGTTTTCAGAGCTTTATAATTCAGGATCAGACCTGGCCTAGCAGAGCTTAAAACTGCAGTTTCCTGAAAGAGAAAGTATCATCTCTTTTTTGGCAGCCCCCCCGGCCTTTTTTTTTTTGGAGATGGAGTCTTGTTCCGTTGCATAGGCTGGAGTGCAGTGGCAAGATCTCAGCTCACTACAATCTCTGCCTCCCGAGTTCAAGCAATTCTCACACCTTAGCCTCCCAAGTAGATGGGATTGCAGGTGCGCACCACCATGCCTCGCTAATTTTTGCATTTTTAGTAGAGACAAGGTTTCATTGTGTTGGCCAGGATGGTCTGGAACTCCTGACCTCAGGTGATCTGCTTGCCTCAGCCTCCTGAAGTGCTGGGATTACAGGGGTGAGCCACCATGCCTGGCCCCTTGTTGGCCTTCTGATGGGGAACAGTTTAAGACACATTTCAGCTGAAATTTTCAGCTGAAAATAGCAATACCATCCCAAAGAATGAAATTTATCTGGAACTTGATTACTGAGGGTGTAATGCTGAGTCCTTGTGGCTGGTTTTCTCCTAACCCATCCTTTCTTTGTTTTCAGATTCGTAACAAATAGATGTAGTAGATCTGGCCAAACACTGCTTTTCAGACTAAAGTCCCATACTGAGTTATTCTGTTACATACACATCTGAGAACAATCCTAAGAATGATGCAACTGAGCCTGACATGGTGGCTCATACCTGTAACCAGCAGTTTGGGAGGCTGGGCTGGAAGGATTGCTTGAGCCTAGGAGTTTGATGCTAGCCTGGGCAACATAGCGAGACCCTGTCTCTACAGAAAATTTTAGAGTTAGATGTAGCATGCCTGTAGTTGTAGCTTCTCAAGAGGCTGAAGTGGGAAGGTCACTTGAGCCTAGGATTGCTCCAGGCTGCAGTGAGCCATGATGGTACCACTGCACTCCAGCCTGGGCAACAGAGCAAGACCCTATCTCCAAAGGGGGAAAAAGTGGTATAACTGGAGTGGAGATTTCTTAAAAAAAAAAAAAAAAGAAAAGAAAAGTGATTTGTACATGCTTATCTGCTTACTTATGGTTTTAATTTTTCCTTTTATTTTTGGTTTATGTGTTTTTCCGGTTTGGAATACGAAAGTGATAAGGAGGTAGAAAGCATCTCCTTTCCAGATTTCCCTGGTCTGTAAGTTAATTATCTTGGCAACTGCTTCAGAACTAAACTGGTCAACCCTCAGGGAAAATAAAGCAGGTAGCTAAACAACTGGCCAGTGTTTGAACCTGCATTCTAGCACCTTAGCAAACTAAGGCACATTTTCTTAGTTTCCCCAGAGTGTATTTTTTTAAAGTAGCAAGATCTTCCACTCACTCTCCCATGCCTGTCATTGCAGAAGGCCGTAGGCTTGGGTCCAGCCTTTTGTTGTCTCAGTGAACCAGGTAAGTTCTGAAAGTCTCTGAGGTACATAAATTTCCTCTGTGAGAACAATCAGCATTCAGAGAAGTATCTCTGGGCTCTAACTGGAAGGACCCTGTGATGTGATTTTTATCTACTTTTTATTTAGAAGAGGAAACAAAGCCCTAGAGAGATAAATGATTCTCTTGAGGTCACACCACTAATTAATGGCTGAGCTGGAATTGAAATGCAAGTGGTCTGATAACTACCATCTAGTGTTCTGTTAGCTCACACTGCATGTTATGCTTTGAATTGGTTGCTTTTCTTATAAGGAGACCTCAAATCCCAACTGCCTGTTTGCCCACTAATGTCTCCCGTCTCCACTGTTAGGACTGTTGGTCTCATCTTCCTCCCACCTCCTTGTCCCCCCCTCAGGTGGATCGCATGTCTTTTCCATGTGGCTGCTCCCGGGATGGCTGTGGGAACATGGCTGGGCGCATTGAATTTAATCCAATCCGGGTCCGGACTCATTACCTCCACACCATTATGAAGCTGGAGCTGGAGAGCAAGCGACAGGTGAGCCGCCCAGTAGCTCCAGATGAGGAGCCCTCCCCCACTGCCAGTTGCAGCCTGACTGGAGCACAGGGTTCTGAGACCCAGGACTTCCAGGAGTTCATTGCTGAGAATGAGACAGCAGTGATGCACCTGCAGAGTGCAGAGGAACTGGAGCGGCTCAAGGCAGAAGAAGATTCCAGCGGCTCTAGTGCCAGCCTGGACTCGAGCATCGAGAGCCTGGGTGTGTGCATCTTGGAGGAGCCCCTGGCTGTCCCCGAAGAGCTGTGCCCAGGCCTTACAGCCCCCATTCTCATCCAGGCTCAGCTGCCCCCAGGCTCCTCTGTCCTATGCTTTACCGAGAACTCCGACCATCCAACTGCCTCAACGGTAAATAGCCCATCCTACTTGAACAGTGGGCCCCTGGTCTATTATCAAGTGGAGCAGAGGCCAGTCTTGGGAGTGAAAGGAGAGCCTGGTACAGAAGAAGGCTCAGGCTCCTTCCCAAAGGAGAAGGATCTGAATGTCTTCTCTCTCCCTGTTACCTCACTGGTGGCTTGTAGCTCCACAGACCCAGCTGCCCTCTGTAAATCAGAGGTGGGGAAAACACCCACCCTAGAAGCGCTATTGCCTGAAGATTGTAACCCTGAGGAGCCTGAAAATGAAGACTTCCGCCCTTCCTGGTCGCCCTCAAACCTCCCCTTCCGCACAGACAATGAAGAGGGCTGTGGGGTGGTGAAGACCTCTCAGCAGAATGAGGATCGGCCCCCTGAAGAGTCTTCCTTAGAACTCCCTCTGGCAGTGTGACAGGTCCTGGAGGTCCTGCCTCTTACCCGTTCTCTATTTATTCCCTTATTTTATCTAACGCCATTTCAAAACAAAACTGTAGAAGCAGCTGCTGCTCCCATGTTATTATTGGGGTCTTTGGGGAATGGGTGGGAAAGGATTGTTTGAGTATTTTTTAAAAGGGAAACAGTACCAAGGAGACCAGCCCCAGCTTGACATGGGGATAGTCTTGGGCAGAGAAGGCTGCATAGTGCTGAACACTGAGCTTTCTGGGCCACTGGAACAAAGAACTAGGATCTCACAGGAGAAGCTGGGCAACTCAAGCAGCTCTTCTTTCTGTAGGGACCAGAACACGAGATTTGAAGAGCATGGCAAAGCCCCTTCTCTCCCAAGCCCCAGCAGAGTACAAGCTCGTTTTTCTCAGTGGTTATTCTGATATCCCATTTTGGTATGTCATAATACTTCAACTGGAAAGTCACCTGGTCAAGTCTGGGGAGGAGGGAGTGGAAGGGTCTCTGCTTCTGTACAAAATCTCCAGGATTTACAAAAATTTAACCTGGTGTCCTTCAATCCCCTATTTGGTGAATAAGTTAATATTTGACATGTTTGGTGTTCTCTGACCTGTTCCCCACACTGGGGATTCCAGGTCTGTAACTTGAATTGCTTCTTCCACATGTTCGTTAGTACTAGAGTTCAACTTGTCTATGTGTCTTCTTTTCCTTCCATCATTTTTCCTTTGGAGAAAAAAAGCTGGATTGGCTGGGGATGTGGTACAAAGAGCCTGAGCCTTCTGTACATGTCTGACACTAGCACTGTCAGGCAGCTTTAGGCTGGAGCTCACCCATCCCACAGGAGGCCTATGTGGAACATTAGCTGTGGCCAAAGGAGGCAGCGGGAACAGGCTGCTTGCTACCTGGAAAGATGACTTATTTGTGCTGTGCTTGTTTTTTCACGCAGGTTTTTCCCTCTTTGTGAGATCTGAGCTTTCATGGAATGTAGGATGTGGCAATCTTAAAAGCCACCAACTGGTTTTTGTTCTTTTTTCCTGTATCTACCTTCATGGTCCTTCTTCGACATACCCGGTTAGAGAGTTCTTACACTGTTCCAGTTCAGTTCCAAAAATTGCAAATGTAGGCCAGGTGTGGTGGCTCACGCCTGTAATCCAAGCACTTTGGAGGCCAAGGCGGGCGGATCACCTGAGGTCCGGAGTTCAAGACCAGCCTGACCAACATGGTGAAACCCTGTCTTTAAAATAAAAAAAAAATTGCAAATGTTTATTGGACCCCTCCATCTTGATGATATGTAAAAATTTGAAGCCAAACCAGTTCTTAAATGTCACATGCAACTCCTAGATTCCAAAGGCTTCCAAGTTCTAATTATAATCTTTGAAGTGTATAGAATGGAACTCATTCAGTTTGATTCAGTTCTTACCTCTGTCAGGGGAATACTGTTCGTATTCATCCTGTGTTTTAGGATCTCCCCCTCTTACCTCTGTCAGGGGAATACTGTTCGTATTCATCCTATGTTCTAAGATCTCCCCCACTGAATACCACTGATTCCTTTTATTAGCAAAGGGATCTTTGTCTCTGCTCTAAAATGGATGGAGTAAGGAGCACAACTGTTCCTCTCAAGCATCCTTTACCCCATACTTCACTTCTGGTATGGTTTATTACCACAAAAGAAAAAAGTGAAAAACTGTGTGTTGTTGGGGGGAGACACTACTCCTACTTACCTTGCTTATAAAGCCTTTTCTGGTGGGCTTTAAGGAGGCCCTGGTGTCCTACAGAAACCATCATGTATGTCACAGCAGCATTTCACCCCCAAAGTCTCTAAACTCTGAGCCTGAAAGGATTTGTATTTATTACACATACATCTTCTAGTTAATTCTGCCTTTCCTATTCATTCCAGTTTTTGCTTGGTTTTATGTTTAGAGGGGACATAAGTACATAGGTCCTTATCTCTCCCCATCCCCTAGTCCCTTGAAACAGAGTTGAGAGTCTTAAGTACCTTATATCTAGAAGCTCTCCAGAACTGAGCTATAACTCCCCCGACATTAGACTGGTACCCTCAAATGAAGCTTAATTGGAAATTTGGCTTTATGGAGAAAATAATCTTTTTCAAAGATTGTGTCAGAAGGGGAGGGTAAGGTCTGCACATCGCCTCTGCAGGAAGGCTCCAGTTTAATCTAGGAAGTAGATTCCAGCTGCACAATGAGGAACACATTAGCTTTTTGGATCAAACCAGGACTATGAATCTGTAATTATTAAGCTCATTGCCAACCCACAAGATATTTGATGTTTCTGAAAACCTGTAGTTTCTTCATCTAAGTCCATCCCTTCATTAACGCTACAGTTGTGACTCACACTGATCCCAAATTTTCGAGTGCTAAATATTAACATTTAGCATTAACTGTCTTGTCAAGCAAAAGGTTTCTACAACCTAGTCCATCTCACTTCTGGTGCTACCTGAGTTGGACAGAATTCTAGCTCGTGGTTGCTAGGAAAGCTAGGCCTCTGGTCATAGAAGCAGATAGCTTCAGTCCCAGTCTGGGCCTAGATAAAAGAAATGACTCATCACAGCACTTATTATTTTCCAATCTCCTTTCTCACATACTGTACACAGGTAGTAGTTTCAATGTGAATCCAAAGCTTGTCTGGTTCTCTGAAAACAATTTTTTTTCCCCTTTAGGTTATTTACATTGTGATAATGCTGTATTTAAAAAGAATATTTAAATGTAATATTAAAGAAATAATCAAAAGAATGGTGCGTTACTTTGTCTTGGCAGGCCACAATTCAGTTACTTGTTAGAAAAAGGATGCTTCTCCAGCTTCGTTATAAAACTAATTAGGTCAGTTAGGAATTAATGTTAACAATAGAAACACTTTGTGATGGAAAAATAGAATATTCTCTTTGGAGCACCAAGAGCTGGACTCGCTTCATCTGCCCTTGTGTACCTGTTCAGTTGAAGCAGGTCTTGCTCCTGCGTTGTTGGAGCTTTGCCCTGTCCCTAATCTGGGCTCCCATTTTCTCATTCCATTAATTTTAGGAAATTCTTTTTTCCTTACTATCACCTTAAAGTGTCCAGCAAGAAGATCAACTTCAAGTCAGTTCCTGCAAAATGTCCATCAGAAGGTTATATTCCAACCAATTAAATCCCCATTTGTTAGGTTATGTCAGTCTTGTAAAAGAAGACTCAGCAAAGTGATTAGAGTATGCGTACATCATTTCCATTGACAAGTTTCAAGCAGTCTTTACTTGGGTTTAAAAACAGTGCTTCATGCATTTACAATAAGTTATTACAGAACTGTAAGCCACTGATGCACACACAAAAGCTAAACCTAACTTACTAACTTGATGCACACCTCTCCTGATCTCAGGCTGGGCAGTGATTAGTACATTACAGGTTTGATTCCTGGCCCAAAGAAGGCAGCCACTGTCAGTTAAAGTTGGATTGCTGCATCACAGTGGAGGTAGCAAATTGTTGAAGACCACAGGGGCTGTAATACAGCCCAGAAAAGACAATGGAGAGTGAAGGCTTGAAACATTGGAAAGAGGTCAGGAAGCACTTGTACTTCCCGTTATCTTTTCCAATAGAATATTCCTGCAAGTTACTCATCAAAAAAAAAAAGTCAGCCAGCCACGGTGGCTCACGCCTGTAATCCCAGCACTTTGGGAGGCCGAGGCGGGTGGATCACAAGGTCGGGAGATCGAGACCATCCTGGTCAACATGGTGAAACCCCGTCTCTACTAAAAATACAAAACATTAGCTGGGCATGGTGGCGCGTGCCTGTAATCCCAGCTACTCATGAGGCTGAGGCGGGAGAATTGCCTGAACCCAGGAGGCGGAGGTTGCAGTGAGCCGAGATCGCGCCATTGCACTCCAGCCTGGGTAACAAGAGCGAAACTCCATCTCAAAAAAATTAAAAAAATAAAAAATAATAATAAAATAAAATTACAAAAATTGGCCAGGTGTGGTGGTGGGTGCCTGTAATCCCAGCTACTCAGGAGGCTGGGCAGAGAGAACTGCTTAAAACCCAGGAGGCAGAAGTCGCAGTGAATTGAGATTGTGCCATTGCACTTTAGCCTGGGCGATAGAGCGAGACTCTGTCTGAAAAAAAAAAAAAAAAAAAAAAGTCAAGGTGTTCAAAGAGTTTGAAAAGGAAGTGATTAGCCCATGCCAGTGAGGCGGACAAAGAAAACAACTTGATTTTTGGTCATATCAGAAAGGATGGAGGGAAACACTGAATTACAAGCATGGACACGAGTGCTCCAGCCAAAGGAGTGTTCTGGCCAGCCGCAGATTCTTTCACAGCAACAACAAAAACCCACAGATGGAAGTAACATGGAAGTGGATCAGTCCTAAGCCAAATAAGGATTCCCACCTGGGGCAAAAGCTGACTTCCTAGAACATGAACTGAACACATCACAGTAAAAGCCCAGCAGAGGCTGCTGCCAGTTCCAGCTATTAGTAATTATGAGGGGGATGGGATGACGCCTCATATGGGCCACGCTTGGCAAGAGGGTCTGTTTCAGTTCTCACCATGAGGGGAATGTCTGCAGTTCCCACATATGTGCCATGCTGTGAAGCCCAGGGCACCTGCTCCTCTCTACCTCCCACATACTTAACAATGCACACAGACTTCACTAGCAAGTGCTGTTTGGTCCCGCACTGCTACACTATGTGACTGCAGGATAATGCCATCCACTCCATGGTTCACTCAGCGCCTTGTCCCAAGGTAGTTGGTGGAGAGCAGGATCACGTTGTGCAGCAAGAGAGACAGCTCAGCTTCTGAAAACACCACAGTGTTAGTGATTTGGCTTGGGAACACTCTGCCTTATAACTGCCTTGTTATATATGGCTTTAGCCTGGAGGCAGGAAGCCAAGTGCAGGGAGGGGTGGTATTAAGAACTTGTTATTCTGGCCGGGCACGGTGGCTCAAGCCTGTAATCCCAGCACTTTGGGAGGCCGAGGCGGGTGGATCACGAGGTCGAGAGATCGAGACCATCCTGGTCAACATGGTGAAACCCCGTCTCTACTAAAAATGCAAAAAATTAGCTGGGCATGGTGGCACGTGTCTGTAATCCCAGCTACTCAGGAGGCTGAGGCAGGAGAATTGCCTGAACCCAGGAGGCGGAGGTTGCAGTGAGCCAAGATCGCGCCATTGCACTCCAGCCTGGGTAACAAGAGCGAAACTCCGTCTCAAAAAAAAAAAAAAACTTGTTATTCTTAAAGTTCCCCTTCTTTGTTTCAGCCCCTGTAAGCATGCCTTCCTTTCCTTCTACTATATATTCCTATTGACTCATCCTCTATTTCTCATGTGACTGCAGTAGAAAATTCAGAGATGGTCATGGTACTAAGCACTGGTCGCCTTGGGAGTCTTCTGGTAGAAGTTGGTGCTCTGGGGACACTTCTCAGCTTCAAGATTAGTAGGCCTACCCTAACATCCAAAGACCCAGAAAACATCAAGACCTAGCCTAAACAGGAACCAACAAGCCTAATACCCTCAGATACTTTTTGTTTGGTCACCAGACTGTTTTTATTTTGAGTTTGAATGCCTTTAGACCAGTATTTCTCAACAGAGACAATCCTGCCTCTCTCCTCCCCACCCCTAGGACATTTGGCAATGTCTGAAGACATTTTGGTTGTGACAACTGCAGGTGAAGGGGTGCTATTGGCATCTAGTGGGCAGAGGCTAGGGAAACTGCTATAATAAGTACCTATAAAGCACAGGACAGCCCCCCACAAGAAAGTGCCAAGGTTGGAAAATTGATTCACACGAGCATGCATTCGCTCTTATGCCCCACAGTCCCCACCACTCCCTCTTGTCCTACAGCCTACTTCATTACCTGCCCAGGCATGATAGGCATGTGACTTTGTGCCCTTTCAATTATACATACATAGATACATAGATAGATAAGGGTCTCATAGTACTCAATAATTAACTTCAAAATGACCTCAGAATAAAATATAAAAGTGACTTGGATTTTAGTGGTATAACCACAGAAAAGTGTTTTACCTTTCAGGCTGCAGGAAATCCGCAGCCATTCTCCCAGCCAAGTTCGACACCTGTCTTCACCAATATGGGTAGAATTCAGGCCACGGAGATAACAAGCCTATCAGAAGAGAAATGGTCCTTAATAATCATTGAGTGAATTGCCAAGGAAATGGAAATCCACAAACAATCCTACGTCTCCTTTAAATAAATTACAATCTCATCCCCACATGAAGCGTTTCGTCATGGCAATCTGAAAACCAGTGATGGACAAGATGACAAGCAAAGAGTTCTATCTGATCTAAAACAGTAGGTCTAAATTGCAGTATCCTTGCTTTCTGGAGTGCCCAAAGAAAAGAAATGCAAACCAAAATTACTGTGGGCAATTCCTTCCCCCTAGTTAAGTTCATCGAGAAAAAAGATATAGAAATGAGGCAAGAAACTTGGCACAGTGGCTCATGCCTGCAATCCCAACACTTTGAAAAGCCGAGGGGGGTGGCTCGCTTGAGCCCAGGAGTTCAAGACCAGCCTGAGCAACATTCAGACCCTGTCTCTACAAAAATAAATTTTATTTATTTATTTATTTATTTAGACAGAGTCTCACTCTGTCGTCCAGGTTGGACTGCAGTAGCACAACCCTTGCTCAATGCAATCCACAGCCTGGGTTCAAGCAATTCTCGTGTCTCAGCCTCCCAGGTAGCTAGGATTACAGGCATGTGCCACTGCTCCTGGCTAATTAAAAAATACTTTTTAGGCTGGGCTCGGTGGCTCAAGCCTGTAATCCCAGTACTTTGGGAGGCCGAGGCGGGTGGATCACGAGGTCAAGAGATCGAGACCATCCTGGTCAACATGGTGAAACCCCGTCTCTACTAAAAATACAAAAAAATTAGCTGGGCATGGTGGCACGTGCCTGTAATCCCAGCTACTCAGGAGGCTGAGGCGGGAGAATTGCCTGAACCCAGGAGGCGGAGGTTGCGGTGAGCCGAGATCGCGCCATTGCACTCCAGCCTGGGTAACAAGAGCGAAACTCCGTCTCAAAAAAAAAAAAAAAAATACTTTTTAAAAAGGCCAGGGGCAGTGGTTCACACCTATAATCCCTGCACTTTGGGAGGCTGAGATGGGAGGGTCACTTGAGGCCAAGAGTTCAAGGCCAGCTTGGTCAACATAGTGAGACCCCCATCTCTACTGAAAAATAAATAGGCTGGGTGCAGCTGCTCACACCTGTAGTCTCAGCACTTTGGAAGGCCAAGGTGGGTGGATCACTTGAGGCCAGGAGTTTGACATCAGCCTAGCCAGTATGGTGAAACCCCATCTCTACTAAAAATACAAAAATTAGCTTGGCATGGTGGCATGTGCCTGTAGTCCCAGCTACTCGGAGGCTAAGGCAGAAGAATCACTTGAACCAGGGAGGCGGAGGTTGCAGTGAGCTGAGATCGTGCCACTGCACTCCAGCCAAGGCAAGGGCAAGGGCAAGAGTGAAACTCCATCTCAAACTCAAACTCAAGGAAAAAAAAAAAAAAAAAAAAGCAAGACAAGGAGCCCCTGTAAATCTCCAGCCTGCTGTAGGCTCAAAAGCACACCAATGGTTGAGGGTTGATGTCAAGCTCTTACCGATTTTACTTCCTCAGCAGTCAGCTGGCCAATCCCCAGCTTTGCCAAAGCCTGGTCCAGCTGGTGAATCACAGTTATATGAGTCTTCAAACGACGTCTTAACAAGGGAGGAGGCAGGTAAGGTGTGAGAAGCATGGCTCGGCTCAAGGCTTTCTGTAACACAACCACATAGGAGGGGAAAGGCAAATAGTATGAGCTCAAGCAAAGATCTGAAACATGGTGAAGCTACGGAAAAGACAAGCCCTCAAAGTGCTCACCACGTGAAAAGCCTGGAGTTGTTTCATGCCCAGAGGATGGTTAGAGAAACACTCTCTCAGAGCCAAGATATCACATATTGCTGGGTGGGAACCACGCTGTATCTTGGAAGAGGTAAGAGATTGGTAGATGTTAGGAAAGTCCTGACTACCCCTCTTACCTAGTTTTAGTGCACACTGATATAACAAGATCCACGTTTGTAGGAAGGGTGAAGCAGGAATACCTTGGTGCACAAATCTGTCAGGCGCCACCGGAGTCCTGCATCAGAAATGAGAGGGATGACCTTTTCTAAATAACTAATGATTTCTGGGTGGGACTGCTTCCGGAAAGCATGATAGATATCTAAGAAATCAATTTGTTGTTTTGGGGTCCAGAAATGCCTGATCAGTAGTTGCCTGGGAAACAGGTACCTGAAAGGAGAAAGAATCACACACTCACTTGCTGAAACTGGCTTCTTTCAGAGGAAGCTAAAGAAAGCATTTGGTAGACATGAATACTAGGAAGAAGAGTTAAGACACCATTTCCTACCTCAGTATTCTTTTTCTAATTTTTTTTCGAGACAGGGTCCCCTGTGTCACCCAGACTGGAGTGCAGTGGCATGATCACAGTCCACTGCAGCTTCAACCTCCTAGGCTCAAGCAATCCTCCCACCACAGCCTACTGAGTAGCTGGGACTACAGGCACAGGCCACCATACCCGGCTAGGTTTTAAATTTTTTTTGCAGAGACAAGGTCTGGCTATATTGCCCAGGGTGGTCTCAAACTTCTGGCCTCAAGCAGTCTTCCTGCCTCAGTCTCCCAAAGTTCTGGGATTACTAGTGAGAGCCACCACAGTCAGCCCTTTTTCTTTTTTAATTTTTTTGAGACGGAGTTTCGTTCTTGTTACCCAGGCTGGAGTGCAATGGCGCAATCTTGAATCACCGCAACCTCCACCTCCTGGGTTCAGCCAATTCTCCTGTCTCAGCCTCCTGAGTAGCTGGGATTACAGGCATGTGCCACGATGCCCAGCTAATTTTTTTGTATTTTTAGTAGAGACGGGGTTTCACCATGTTGACCAGGATAGTCTCGATCTCTTGACCTCGTGATCCACCCGCCTCAGCCTCCCAAAGTGCTGGGATTACAGGCTTGAACCACCGTGCCCGGCCCCAGCCCTTTTTGTTAAGTGACTCTCAGACCAAGGTTTTTTTTTTTTTTTTTGAGACGGAGTTTCGCTCTTGTTACCCAGGCTGGAGTGCAATGGCGTGATCTCGGCTCACCGCAACCTCCGCCTCCTGGGGTCAGGCAATTCTCCTGCCTCAGCCTCCTGAGTAGCTGGGATTACAGGCACGTGCCACCATGCCCAGCTAATTTTTTGCACTTTTTTGTTTTTGTTTTTGTTTTTTTTTTTTGAGACGGAGTTTCGCTCTTGTTACCCAGGCTGGAGTGCAATGGCGTGATCTCGGCTCACCGCAACCTCCGCCTCCTGGGTTCAGGCAATTCTCCTGCCTCAGCCTCCTGAGTAGCTGGGATTACAGGCACGCGCCACCATGCCCAGCTAATTTTTTGTATTTTTAGTAGAGACGGGGTTTCACCATGTTGACCGGGATAGTCTTGATCTCTCGACCTCGTGATCCACCCGCCTCGGCCTCCCAAAGTGCTGGGATTACAGGCTTGAGCCACCGCGCCCGGCTTCAGACCAAGGTTTATAAGACACACTGAAGCACAATTTCAAGCAACATTACTGAAATGTGATGTGAAAGAAACGACGAGTAGAATAGCCTGGCATGCAGCAATCAGATATAATGACTCCTTTTGAACTAAGGCGTATGAAGAACATGCTTTGGGCAGAGTTGCAGACTGACCTGGACACTATATGTGATGCTGACAATCTAACTATAGCACAGTCCTTACATATACACAGAATATAAAAGGCAATCAATTTGTTTGTTTGTTTTTGAGACAGAGTCTTGCTCTGTCACCCAGGCTGGAGTGCAGTGGCGTGATCTCAGTTCACTGCAACCTCCGCCTCTTGGGTTGAAGTGATTCGACTGCCTCAGCCTCTGGAGTAGCTGGGATTTCAGGCGGGTGCCACCATACCTGGCTAATTTTTTGTATTTTTGGTAAAGATAAGGTTTCACAGTGTTAGCCAGGCTGGTCTCAATCTCCTGACCTTAGCCTCCCAAAGTGCTGGGATTATAGGTGTGAGCCACCACGTCCAGCCACAGTTTGTTTTTTAATTCATTTATTTCCATGTTTGGTTGTTTTAAAACATGACCACAAATTCTCTGGCACTCCTCTTATGGAGGGATGAGGTCTATATCCTCCGTTTTTTCAATCTAGGTGACTGATTCAGTCAACAGAACAAAGCAGCAGTGAGTCTATGTGACCTCCAAGACAAGGTTATGGAGTCCCGTAGATTCTTACACACTAGAACCCTCACTCTTGGAGCCCTGAGCTGCCGTGTTAGAAGCCCCACTATCCTGAGGCTGCCATACTGAAGAAGCCACATGTGGGCACTCTGGTTCACAGTTCTAGCCGTGTAGCCATCCCTGCCAGGGCACCAGGCCTAAGAGTGACTTTGGACCTTCCAGACTAGTCCATTCAGTAGCTAAATATCAGTAAGAAACCACTGTCAACATTACATGGAAGAGAGAAGTCAACCGCCCACCTTAGCACTGCCCTAATTCTTGACCTACAAAATCATGAAAATGATTTATACTACTGTTTTATGCTATTAAGCTTTGAGGTTATTTGTTATACAGCAATCGATAATTAATGACATGTAAGATCACAGTTTAGAAATGTCATTTTGGTCATGAAGTAATAAGAACATGTTATCAGAATATAAAATAAACTTTTTTTTCTATAGAAATTAGTCCAAAATTGCTCTCTCTTGGGGAGTGAGTTGCTTCCTCTAGGGATGATGGAGAAGGTCATTATCTTATATCGCATCACTCAGGGCAGCTAAGAAATAGGGAGAGTCTAGGCCACCTGCACCTCTAGCTGTGATGTGTCCCAGTAACCAAGGTCTTCCTGAGTGGCTTTTATGAACCTTGGGATAATGAGAAGACTGGAGGAGAAGTTTGATAACCTCTGACTAGCTTCTGAAATGAAAAGTTCTGCTTAAAATAATTCTTAATTTTAAAAAATTGATACATCTTCAAGATGTTGGGGAGACGGAAGTCTGTACTCACATTAGTAAGAAGACCAGGTAGTTGGCAAAAGGTGGAGTGGAAATAATACCTAGGAAAAGACACTTGTTGACGTCTTGGCGGAACTAAGCAGAAATAAACACAAATGCAGTTTTAACCCAAATAAGTTATTAATGCAATAGACAATCCCTCCACCCCACCATACAGTAAACTTCCATTACAGCCCAGAGCAAGGACCAAATTTATTTCTTTTTTATTTTTTGAGACAGAGTCTTGTTCTGTCACCAGGCTGGAGTGCAGTGGTGAGATCCTGGCTCATTGCAACCTCCACCTCCTGGGTTCAAGTGATCCTCCTGCCTCAGCCACCCAGGGAGATTACAGGCTGGAACCACCACACAAGGCTAATTTTTGTATTTTTAGTAGAGATGGAGTTTTGCCATGTTGAACAAGCCTCAAAGTGCTGGGATTATAATCATGAGCTACTGCACGTGGTCCCCAAGTTAATTTCTAACTAATTCTGAATGGTTAGTTCCTTGAGGACAAAACCTCCAATTTGCTTACTTCTGTATCCCAAATAATGGCCAGTACAGAGCCCGACATTATATCAAATCTTTCAGTGAACTCTTCCTGATCTGCAGAATGGGTCCTAGATTCTTACTCTCAGCTTCAAAACTAGCCATCAAGTTACCACCAAATACTATTTTTGTGATGCCCTTTGAATCCTTGCAGACTTTTTTTTTTTTGAGACAGAGTTTCACTCTTGTTGCCCAGGCTGAAGTGCAATGGCACAATCTTTGCTCACTGCAACCTCCACCTCCTGGGTTCAAGCAATTCTCCTGCCTTATCCTCCCAAGTCGCTGGGATTACAGGTACCTGCCACCAAACTCAGCTAATTTGTGTATTTTTAGTAAGAGATGGGGTTTCAACATGTAGGCCTCAGGTGATCCGCCCACCTTGGCCTTCCAAAGTGCTGAGATTACAGGTGTGAGCCACCTTGCCCAGCCGCTCTTGCAGACTTTCATATGTTCAAAAACTAATTGGATTTTAGTGTTTACAACTTTCGTTCATCAAGTGTACCAGAAATTCTATGACGCTCTTGCTGTGGAAGGCTACCACTCTGGATGAACCCAATTCTTACAAATAATCTGATGCCTCATTCAGTTCAATATTTGGTTCTCATGGCAAAGGGCAAAAGTGTGATCAATCATGAACAAAGGAAAGAAAAAACCTTGAGATCTTGATTAAATGTAATTACCTCACCAGGAACTTCTGGATATCTGCCCCTGGCCCATACCTGTCTCAAATGCTCCATCTCCCGGTATGGAAGTTGATGAAATTCCATATTGTGATTCCACATATCTGTCTTTATTCTTCTAGCCTTTTTGGCATCAGCCCATAACATCCGAAATCCTGCCTCATTAAAGTAGAGGACAGAGTGTGATGTTATCCCAGTTTGAATCTTAACCACAGCTTCCTACTCCATGTTCAATCACATGCAAACACTCTGGCCCCTCCCCAACAATAGAAACTAGGTAGTGAAACTCTTGAGATTAACCCAAATCTCTTTTCAAAACCTTTTTCCCCTAGCACATCGCCTCTCTTCTACCAAACTGGGCTTCTGTAATCTGCTACAGAATGGTCTCCCTCTTCTGTTTCATTGCTTAGTCCTTTTTAAACACCAAGCTCCCTAACCTCAGAAAGTCTTGCTAAATTAACCCTTTGTATTCTTCGGTCAGATATTAGTTTATCTCCTTTCTGGAACTTTTTTTTCCTTTTTTTTGAGATGAAGTCTCACTCTATCACCCAGGCTGGAGGTCAGTGGTATGATTTTGTCTCACTGCAACCTCCACCTCCCAGGTTTATGCAATTCTTCTGCCTCAGCCTCCCAAGAAGCTGGGATTATGGGCACGTGCCACCAAGCCTGGCTAATTTTTTATTGTTAGTAGAGGCGGGGTTTCACCATGTGGTCAGGCTGGTCTCAAACTCCTGACCTCAAGCAATCCACCCGCCTTAGCCTCCCAAAGTGCTAGAATTACAGCATGAGCCCCTGCGCCCAACCTGGAACATGTTTTTTTTTTTTGAGATGGACTCTTGCTCTGTCGCTCAGGCTAGAGTGCAATGGTGCTATCTCAGCTCACCACAACCTCTGCCTCCCAGGTTCAAGCAATTCTCCTGCCTCAGCCTCCTGAGTAGCTGGGACTACAGGCGCCTGCCACCACACCTGGCTAATTTTTATATTTTTAGTACAGATGGAGTTTCACCATGATGGCCAGGCTGATCTCGAATTCCTGACCTCATGATCCACCCAACTCAGCCTCCCAAAGTGCTGGGATTACAGGCATGAGCCACCATGCTCAGCCAGGAACACTTTTTATTTTATTTTATTTTTTTGAGACAGAGTCTTGCTCTGTTGCCAGGTGTCAGGCTGGAGTACAGTGGTGCGATCTTGGCTCACTACAACCACCACCTCCCAGGTTCAAGCAATTTTCCTGCCTCAGCCTCCCGAGCAGCTGGGACTACAGGCGCACACCACCACGCCCAGCTAATTTTTGTATTTTTTGTAGAGACGAGGTTTCACCATGTTGGCCAGGATGGGCTCAAACTCTTAACCTTGTGATCCGCCTGTCTCGGCCTCCCAAAGTGTTGGGATTACAGGCGTAAGCCACCGCGCCTGGCCAGGAACACTTTTTTTTGTTGTTTTTTGTTTTTTGAGACAGAGTTTCGCTCTTGTTACCCAGGCTGGAGTGCAATGGCGCAATCTCGGCTCACCGCAACCTCCGCCTCCTGGGCTCAGGCAATTCTCCTGCCTCAGCCTCCTAAGTAGCTGGGATTACAGGCACGCGCCACCACGCCCAGCTAGTTTTTTGTATTTTTAGTAGAGATGGGGTTTCACCATGTTGACCAAGATGGTCTCGATCTCTCGACCTCGTGATCCACCCACCTCGGCCTCCCAAAGTGCTGGGATTACAGGCTTGAGCCACCGTGCCCGGCCATAGGAACACTTTTTAAAGTAATCTAATTCAATATATTTCTATGATTATATTTTACATCTTCATTCTATGAAAATTCTTGCATCTACTTTTAAGGCTTTCATATTTATCAATGATTTACATGTCATATGATATCTCAACTGTCTTCAAAATAATACATAGGGCAAGTATATAAATGAAAATTGGCAGCCATGAGTTATGATAATGAAGTGAGGTGAATACATGGAACTTTGTTACACTGCTCTCTCCACCTTTGTGCATGTTTAAAAATTTCCGTAATAAAAGGTTTAAAAACAAACACAAATGCTTTCATCTTTCTTTCATTAGATTCTATTTATCTACACGAGAACAGAAAAAGCAGCCAATTTTATCTTCACTTTACAGATTAAGGATAAGTAATTTTTCAAGTCCATGAAGCTAGTAATAATTATGAAAATGTTCAGAGTTGACAGTGAAGTTTAGTACAGTGTTATGATAAAAGCACAGAGCATATTCTAAGTTGATGCAAATGCAATTTCGGTTTTTGCCATTGAAAGACAAAAGCCCCAATTACTTTTGTGCCAATCTACAATATTGTTATCTAACATTTAGATAACAATAACTAACATTTATTTGGCACTTACTAGGGATCAGGACCTGTTCTATGTACTTTACATGTATTGATTTTTTAATCTTCACAACCATGTGATAAATAGGTAGGTTCTATAACTCCCATTTTACAGATAAGAAAACCAAGGAACAGAGAGGTTAATTAATTAGTCCAATCACACAGTGATGAGCTGGGATTTGATTCAGGCAATCTGGCTCCAGAGTAGACACCTGGCACTAGACATATCATCTCCTAGTAACTAAGGATCTCTGATTTGAAACAAAACGTTTAGAAACCAAGTATTATGCAGTGCTATTTCCACTACAACATGCTACCTAATATAGATTCGTAACAAGGGTCAGACCTCATTTTCCTATGTGTCACAGGAAATCAATCACAGGGCAGGTCTGTACAGCCATAGATCCCTACCCTGTGCTGGACAAAAAAATTTCTACTATAGCCAGATGTGTGGTTAAGAAAAGTATGAGAACATATCTATATTCTACCCCCCTCCATCATGCTGCTGTCATAAGTTATTTCTCGTAACATCTTTCTAGAAACATTCTCAAGAAGTGCTAATTTATAAGAATTAGTTTAAGGCACAAGCATTTATGAAATATAAGATATCTCAGCTCACATCCCCATAGCAGAACCTGCAAATGATCTTATTTATGCGAACTCTCTGATCCTGCCCAAGAGCTGATTCAGGAATTTCTATTATGGTTTTGTTTTTACCTTTCGTGAAGATTGTGTACAGGACATAGAAGCGGGGGAAATGACGACCCAAGAAACGATGGTATTTCCCATTAATCGCTTTTGTCTTGGTCACCACATAAGACATCAAGTTCTTCACATCTGTCTTTGGAGAAAGGTGAAGCTTTGAAGACCTACAAGGAAGATCAAAGAGACTATCTGGGAACCAGTTCTAGAAGCTCCCTTACGCCTTGAGTCCCTAATGTACAGCAGGAGTCTCGGAGAATGTATGCCAAGGCTTGACACTTCTGAAATCCAAGGAAGATCTTGGGGTCAAGAAGAGATAGGCAATCAGACTGAGAAACAAAGATCAAGCAAAGGCCAGGCAAGAAAGGAACTCAGGGTATGACTCTGGAGAGAGCGCAATGCCTGTGGGACAATTTGAACTGCAGGCTAGGTCAGAGAGAGGTGGAATCGAGATAGCGGCAAAACCTGAGCCGAAAAAGTGAGGAGGCTGAAAGATGAGCTCAGGACACGCGGGGAGACCAGACAATATGGGGCACTGAGAGTAGAGAGGGCCAGGAAGCCAGATCACTAGTGGGGATCGGTGTTTGAATCCTGAGCAGAAGAATAAAAATTCCAGGGCCAAGGCGTGGAACCCTGAGAATTAAGAGACAGAATGCAAGCAAGGTTCAGACACTGAGAGCCTGGACGTCAAAAATGCTTTTCTCGCTACAGGTCCCTCACCGAGGGCCCCCCCAAGCCAGGCCAGAGCGACCAATTTGCAGCCTCCGGGTGACAAAATGTCCAGGGGTGACTGCTGAACCCCACACAGCAGCCCGAGCCCAGCACACCCTGGAGAGCGCCATCTTGACAGCGAGGGAAGTGGGAGAGGGGAGGTTGCTTTGGGGTCAAAGTTAACCGAATGTCGCGTTCGTTCGAAGACGCATGCGCCTTTTCTGAGCGCTGATTGGTAGCCTTAGCCTCCTTGGCTCCAGCACAAGCCGGGAGAGGAAGGACTCAAAGACTAAGTGCGAAAGGAGGGCCAGGATTGGACACAGCAGTACTTCCTGGTTTAAAGGCGCCGGAAACAGGCTGTCCCCGAGGGAGCGAGTTCTTATGCCACTGGTATGGGTTTGCAATGCCGAGGACGTCCTCTCCTTGAGGGGGCCCAGTGACCCTCCGCGATTCCCTAGGGCCTCATGGCTTCCCAGCGCCGCCCTTGCCCTCTTCCTGGACGCGGGGCGTCGGGGCCTCGACTGTTAGGTACCAGATGTCAGTTTGGCAGTGCCTGGGGCCATGGCGCCTCCTGGGGACTGGGAGGACCCGCGGCGCCCTCTAATGGTGGCGGCGTGGATAGGCCGGGAACTGTCCGCTTTCCAGTCACAGTCTGGCAACGAAGGTTGGAGGCCTGGGAGCGGCCCCTGTGCAGACTAAGTACACTTTTTCCTTTCTTTGTCGTTTCCAGAATTAAGTTTGTGGGAAAATGGTTTTCGTTAAGCGCCTACCGAATGGTTTTCGTTGAGCGTCTCAAACGTTACTTTTCTGAGAGGATTTCTCTGACCACTCTATCTGAAGCAGAGCCAGCAAAAAAGGACACACTTCACACTTACTCTCATGTTATTCTCTCTCTCTCTCTCTCTCTCTTTTTCTTTTTTTGGGACAGGATCTCTCTTTGTCGCCCAGGCTCGAGTCCAGTGGCGCGATCTCGGTTCATTGCAACCTCCGCCTCCCAGGTTCAAGCGACTCTCCTGCCTCAGCCTCCCCAGTAGCTGGGACTACAGGTGTGTGCCACCATGCGCAGCCAATTTTTTGTATTTTAGTACAGACGGGGTTTCACCATGTTGGCCAGGATTGTATTAATATCCTAACTTTGTGATCCGCCCGCCTCGGCCTCCCAAAGTGCTGGGATTACAGGTGTGAGCCACAGCACCCAGCCTTATATTTTGTTTATAGCATCTATCACTTATAGTGTTTATGTATTTGTGTCCTGGTTTGATGGCTCCCTAAACTAGAATGAGGGTAAGCATCTTCTCTGCCTTCTTCATTGCTGCACCTCCAACACTAAGTGCCATAGTTAGCACATAGTAGGTGCTCAATAAACATTTTTGAATAAATACTTGAAACTAAGAAGGATTCCCAGAAGTGGTACTCAGCTGCCTCCAAGAGTTAGCAGTCCTCCTGGATATATATGAATATTCACTCTTCATGGAGGGTGGTAGAGCATTCCAGGTGGGTTCCCTGGATGTTCAATCTTGGCACTGCCATTCTTTTAGTGACTGTTACCTTGGATATGTCACTTTAGTTCTGAGTTTATTTCCCTTATAATAGTACCTATTTTATAAGAATTCTGTGAGGAGAGAATACAGCTGTGAAAGCTCCCACATCTGTATAATGCCTTATGGGTCACAGAGCTTTATATTAGCACAGGTTATTAATGACAGTACCATGCGTGCAGTCAGACGAAAAGTTTTAAAACATGGTCCTGGATCTTCACAAGTGTTGGGTAGATGGGGTGGATGGGATAAAAAGTTGACTAAGACAGCTGGCCGAGACGACTCACACCTGTAATCCCAGCACTTTGGGAGGATAAGTGGGTGGATCACCTGAGGTGAGGAGTTCCAAGACCAGCCTGGCCAACATGGTGAAACCTTGTCTCTACTAAAAATACAAAAATTAGGTAGGTGTGGTGGCAGGTGCCTGTAATCTCATCTAATTGGGAGGCTGAGGCAGGAGAATCGCTTTAACCTGGGAGGCAGAGGTTGTGGTGAGCTGTCCAGCCTGGGCAACAGTGAGAGATTCTGTCTCAAAAAAAGAAAGAAAAAGAAAAGAAAGTTGACTAAGACATGGTCTCCATATTCAGGTAGTTTTGTTTTGTTTTACTTTGTTGTTGTTTTTTTTTTTTTTTTTTTGAGACGGAGTTTCGCTCTTGTTACCCAGGCTGGAGTGCAATGGCGCGATCTCGGCTCACCACAACCTCCGCCTCCTGGGTTCAGGCAATTCTCCTGTCTCAGCCTCCTGAGTAGCTGGGATTACAGGCACGGGCCACCATGCCCAGCTAATTTTTTGTATTTTTAGTAGAGACGGGGTTTCACCTTGTTGACCAAGATGGTCTCGATCTCTTGACCTCGTGATCCACCCGCCTCGGCCTCCCAAAGTGCTGGGATTACAGGCTTGAGCCACCGCGCCCGGCTGTTTTACTTTGTTTTGAGACAGAGTCTCACTCTGTCGCCCAGGCTGGAGTGCAGTGGCTCAATCTCAGCTCACTGCAACCTCCACCTCCCAGATTCAAATAATTCTCCTGCCTCAGCCTCCCAAGTAGCTGGGATTACAGGCGCCTGCCACCACACCTGGCTAATTTTTGTATTTCTAGTAGAGACAGGGTTTCACCATGTGGGGCAGGCTGGTCTCGAACTCCTGAACTCAGGTGATCTGCCCAGCTCAACCTCCCAAAGTTCCAGGATTACAGGCATGAGCCACTATGCCTGGCCATATTCAGGCAGTTTCTGAGTCATGTCAACTACTCAAGAATATTCAGCTCTAAAATTCCAGAACTCTCTTGGAAAGAAGGAGAGAAAATCAGAATTTTGTGGAGAAAATAGGAAGGAACTGTGTCTGGAAGGATGGAGTAGAAGGGAAGGCATTTCATGTAATAAAAGAATGTGGCAGCAACACATGTCATTCCTCAGACTTTTTTATTTATTTATTATTTTCTTTTCGAAACAAGGTCTTGCCGTGTTGCCCAGGCTAGAGTACAGTAGTGCCATCATGGCTCACTGCAGCCTTGACCTCCAAGGCTCAAGTGATCCTCTCACCTCAGCCTCCTGAGTAGCTAGGATTACAGACATGCACCACCACACCCAGCTAATTTTTGTATTTTTAATAGAGATAGGGTTTTGCCCTGTTAGCCAGGCTGGTCTTGAACTTCTGGACTCAAGAAATCCACCTGCCTTGATCTCCCAAAGTGCTGTGATTACAGACGTGAGCCACTGCATGCAGCCCTTTCCTCAGATATTTATTTGGTGTTTAGGCCTCTTTCTCCATTGTACCCCTTACACACACACACACACACACACGCACACGCACACACACACGTGCACGTCTTCTTGGTTCTACCTTCTAGCTGTTCAATCAGCCAGCTTCGTTCTGTCTTCTCTGCCACTACCCTACACTAAGCTGCCAGCCTCTGGTCCTGACTTCTACAGCATCCCCCTTACTGGTTTCCCTGCCATGTGTTTTGTCTTCCCTTCAACCAGTTCTCCATGTTGTAGGTAGCTAGAGAGAGCTTTTAAAATTGCAAATCTAAGCTTGTCACCTCTCTTTATAAAACCTTTTGGCCAGGCACGGTGGCTCATGCCTATAACCCCTGCACTTTGGAAGGCCAAAGCAGGTGGATCACCTGATGTCAGGACTTCAAGACCAGCCTGGCCAACATGATGAAACCCCATCTCTACTAAAAATACAAAACAATTAGCTGGGCATGGTGGCACATGCCTGTAATCCTGGCTGCTTGGGAGGCTGAGATAGGAGAATCACTTGTGCCAGGGACGAAGAGATTACAGTAAGCCAAGGTAGCGCCACTGCACTCCAGCCTGGGCAACAAGAGCAAAACTCTGTCTCAAACCAAACAAACAAAAAAACCTTTCAGGTTTCCTCAGGCTCCTAGGATCAAATTCAGTCTCCTTAACACAGTCTACAAGGCCTTTCAATACTGACCTCAGCCTGCCTCACCAACCTCATTGTGTATCTCTTTCCACAGAGTTTTCTATACTAAGAAACTAATCTAGGCCGGGCTTGGTGGCTCATGCCTGTAATCCCAGCACTTTGGGAGGCCGAGATGGGTGGATCACGAGGTCAGGAGTTCAAAACCAGCCTGGCCAAGACGGTGAAACCCCATCTCTTAAAAAAAAAAAAAAAGAGAGAGAGAGAGAGACTAATCTTTCAGTTCCGTAGGCCCGGCAGTTCTTCCTCTAGGCTTGTGTACCTGCTGCCCTCTCTGTGTAGAATTTTTCCCCCTTTCCCTTCCCCCTAGGTTACTCCTATTTGTTTTTCATGTTCCAGTTGAAATGAGAATAATAACATTTATTGAACAGGTACTCTGTGCCATCATTGGTTTTAGTGCTTTATGTATATTAACTCATTTATTCCCCACTGTAACTTCTTGAAGTAAATGCTGTTACCTTTTTTTTTCTTCTTGAGACGTAGTCTCATTCTTTCACCAGTTTGGAATGCAGTGATGCAATCTCAGCTCATTGCCACATCTGCCTCCTGGGTTCAAGAGATTTCCCCCTCCCTCAGCCTCCTGAGTAGCTGGAAGTACAGGCACATGCCACCATGCCTGGCTAATTTTTTTGTATTTGATTTGATTTGATTTGATTTATTTATTTATTTTTTTGAGACAGAGTCTCACTCTGTTGCCCAGGCTGGAGTGCAATGGCACAATCTCAGTTCACTGCAACCTCCGCCTCCCAGGTTCAAGCAATTCTCTTGCCTCAGCCTCCTGAGTAGCTGGGATTACAGGCACGTGCCACCGCGCCCAGCGAATTTTTGTATTTTTAGTAGAGACGGGGTTTCAACATCTTGGCCAGGCTGGTCGCAAACTCCTGACCTTGTGATCCACCCACTTCGGCCTCCCAAAGTGCTGGGATTACAGGCGCGAGCCACCGCGCCCACCCTGTATTTTAATAGGGACAAGATTTCACCATGTTGGACAAGATGTTCTCAGTCTCCTGACCTCGTGATCCTCCCACCTCAGCCTCCCAAGGTGCTGAGATTACAGGCATGAGCCACCTCGCCCAGCCCTTTTTGTTGTTGTTATTAAGACAGGGTTTCGCTCTTGTTGCCCAGGCTGGAACACAATGGCTTGATCTCAGCTCACTGCAACCTCTGCCGCCTGGGTTCAAGCAGTGCTCCTGCCTCACCCT